GCTCAAGCCGGCTGGAAATACTTCAGCCATGCATCGCCAGGAGCGAAACAGAGTTTGAACGAAGCAGAACAGGTAGCTTCTTCTACTCCTTTTGGGATCAATTTTCTAACTACACAACGCAATTGTTCTCTAAACCATCGAACGTAACAGGTTCTATCACGCTTCGTTCGTTCGACTTCAATGCAAGCTAAACAGTTCGATATGGAATCAATCAAAGATGCTGCTTTGAAGCGACAACTAGCATACGTATCCTTCGAGGGGATGTCCGCATTGTCCCCAGCGGATTATGCAGCTTTCAACCAGGCACAAAACTCTGTATGTGAGAGATAATCATTGTGGAAAAGTCTAATAGAATCCTTTGAAGTTATCATACAAATTATAAAGCAATTTTTCCTTCATGCTTAGAGTTAGAAAGATATGTTGCTTTTACCCTGCTAAGACTTTTGCAGTTTTTGAATTCTGCTCTGGCGTTTGACCGACAGAGGGATATTTATTGATTGATGAATTGCCAGAACCTGAATTATTTAGAAATTCTTTCTAAACTTTAAAATTGAACACTTTCAGCTAAATCGGGTGGCAGCTGACGTAACAATTTGTGACAAAGATCTTCCTCCGCCATGCGCTTTGAAGTGAGTGGAGAGCGCAGATGAATAAATGCATTACTTTACTAATCGATCTTTCCTCCTAGGAAAATCGATATGGAATCAATATTCCGAAATGAGAAGGATGCAGCTCGCTTATCCCATTTGTGGATAGCGTATCTGACGGATCTGGCTCGTGAAAAGCCAACATATCAAAAGTTGATTCAGCTTAGCAACAAAGGTGTGTTCAGGATCTGGATGAATTTCAAATTAAAGAAGTTTTTGAATCTGTTTTTAAGGAGCACAAGCCAATGGATTTAGCGATGCTGGCGCAATGTGGAGAAGCGCTTTTGATTTATCTGGTAAAAATACACCTAAAGTGATGGATTTAAATGCTCAAATAGAAAACATCTACACAAAGATTGCTCCTCTCTACAAACATGTTAGTAATCATAACTGCAGCTTTCACAAAACGTAACTTGTATTCAAAGCCATCACCTCAATTAAAAAATGCAAATTTTTAGCTGCATGCTTACATGAGGCGACAAATCGCGGGAATTTATGGAAATCCCACTGGATTGAGCAAAAATGGGCCAATCCCGGGACACCTTTTTGGTAAGCCGTTTTTGTAATTTTCACACAGTTTTGACAACATAGATGCACACTAATCCAAATT